GACTGGGTTACAAATTGTAGTATTCACAGTATCACGCGAAAATATGGATTGAGATCAAATTGTTAAGTTGTAAAATGCAAATTAAAGAAATGAAAAAATGGGATAAAAGTATAACCGGTAAAAATCTGGAAAAAACAAGGAAGCAAGCAACTCAGATGACAGTCCCATGGGGAGTGGTAGATTACCAGAAACATTCGCATTGTCTTTCATCTTTAGATTTGCCAAACGGAGCTAAGGAAACAAAACAAAATGCTAAAAAAGGTTTAGCGATTTGACAATGTAATCTCCTGAAAAACAAATTACAAAATCCCTTATCAATTTTGGGAACAAGACTCAACAACACTTAACCTTCTTTGCCTCCACAAATTGGCTTCTGGCATTAGCCTTTCCGCTGTTCTTGCTGGTTCTGATTTACTCCTTGTAAGTAGTAAAGGATGCGATGCAACACCTCCCACAGTTGAATTCAATTTTGTAACATTATTTACTGAACCTTCAAAATTTTCAACTTCATGGTTGTTTCTTGACTCTACTGCCACATTTTCACGAGGGTTTTTTAATTCTCGAAATTCATGCTTCGTTTTTGCTTCCTTATCAGTATTATTTTCTGTTTCTGGCGTAGCTAATGGGGCAGATCCCCTGAACCGGCTGGCCAATGATGAAGACCTACAAGGAGTAGATCTGCACCTAGTCAAAAGGAAAGCGTTCTTGGGTGGAGAAGAAGAATCAAGAAAATTTCCTTTATTTTCTTGAATTTGGGCTTCAAGGATTTCGTGATTATTATCAACATGTGGAGAAGAAGAACCAAGAAAATCCACTATATTTTCTTGAATTTGGGTTCCAAGAATTTCATTAGTACCCACATGTGGAGTAGTGGAACCAAGAAAATCCACATTATTTTCTTGAAATTGAGGTCCAAGAATTTCACAATTAGTACCAATATGGTTTTGAATATTCTGACTTGTCTGAATTGGTTCAACTCCAAAAGAATCCTCTCCGGTATCAGACTTCTTGCAACATTCAGATCGAGAAAACAAACCGCATTTGATAAAAAACCGGCGGAGGGGCTCTGGTTTATGAAATCCTGAAGTAAAATTGTGAAAGTCAATTTTCTTGAACCACCAGCAGAGGCAGCTTGTGGTGGTGGCACCGCCAGTTTTCTTAGGCCGTGAGGATTTTGAGGACCTTTTAACTCGAACTTGACCAATGCAAGTTACTTTAGGTGAGGATGGTTCTATCGCTGCTTCTATCGCTGCTGCATTCTTTTTACTGCGCAAGTAAAACATTGGGCTTGCACGTGACCTGCCTCTGCTTCTACTGCCGCCATTGCTCCTCAAGAACATCAACAATGGTGGTGGAAATTTCTCTGCTCTGCTTGGACTTGAAACTGACTTTGATGAAATCTTCATTATATGCTAACAATGGTATTCAATCTACTGTTTATAGGACTAGTTTTTGCCAGGTTGCCATTCCTCTCTCTTTTGTTTTTTATAATTACAGGTGACTCTTTTATCTTCTAGTGGTTTGGGGGTTTCTTTTGGTTGCTCTTATGGGAAAGAGATTGGGATTGATGGGAGGGTAGTAGGCAATAAGCTATCTCTTTCGTGACGGTATTATTTTCTATTCTCACGAAGATATGATATATCTGGTTCAGTTGTTATTTGTGTAAGAGACGGCATTACTTACAATAGAAAATTGTGATAAAGTGGACATAACTTTCACATAGAGAATTAAATCGGATTTAGGACACAAGCATTTGTGCACGGATGGGTGAATCAGACAATAGACTTTTAATTTCAGGTTTGTTTACGTCTGCTTGGTGTTGCACCTCTTTTTTCAATGGGACCTTTTGCTTCCATTTAACTTTTTCATTACTTTTTTCCGACATGAAATTTTTCATATGCTAGTTGTACATTTATAGTTGACATTATGGATGACATTGTGTAATGTGTGAAAAATGTGCCATTGATATGCACAAGTTTTGTTAAAATCAATGGCCCAAAGTATTACCACGTCAAACAATATCATTCATGATGTCAAATTTAGTATACTTGTAACAAAACTAAAATTACAATAAATTTGAGTTGTATGTGTATATATAGATTCTATGTGCTTTTAAGTGCAAAAATGATGAGAGCGAAGTTAACTTGGATCGAGTCTTCCTTTGAGGGATAGGGTTGAAATTATATAAAAGAAAAAAGTGCAGTAAATATCGAGTAATGACCTCCGCCGGAGGTTGTTGGAATCATCATGTACGATTATGCACACACATTTTCAGAACAAGGGAATGGATGGTGCAAAAATTTGGTTGGTTCCTATTTTGTGAGATTGGATGGGTCATGGGTGATTGGTACTTCTTTTCAAAGTAAGAGACATTATCACCAAATTTATTTATACTTCACCAATTTTGGTAATCTTGACATGATTCATTCTATCAGTGAACTGTGAATCGAATCCAGTTATAGAAGTGGACCATTGATCACTCTCCTATTGATTATTCTTGGTAAGCAAATTTTATCGTGTTTTTTGGTAAGTAGACCAAACCATGATGAAAGATCAAAGAAAAAAAAATGAATTAAAAGTTTATTAATTATGTGTATTAGACACGTGTTCTTGTTCAGACTTCAAATCAAATGGAAAATTTGCAGGGATGCATGCATTTCTAGTTGGAGGGCCCACATTGCCATCACTCTCTCGTTAACGACCTGTTATTTACATCGTCAAGAGGCCTTGTCCGCTCTGTAGTTGGAAAGACACGAAATATTTACCATTCGAAAAGAGAAAAAAGTGGAGTCTTTGTCTAAAGAAATTCGTTGAGAAAGGGTGAATCCCAGCCAGGTTTTTCCCCACTAACTAATTACGACCAATGAACAAACTTGGTTGACGAACATAGTTTATGTGCCATCGTACTCTTCTGAAGTCTCATAAATGACATGATATCTTGATTTGTCAAGACGTTGTGCCAGCAGCAAGCCAGCCCAACTGTAAAGTTGTTCGTGCACGGCTATGCTTGAACCAACACGATACCTTTTGTAAGTTTATCGAGCTGGCATGGCATGGTTAAAATTATCTAAGATCCGTAAAGTTCAGGTAATGCTTGGTCTATGGAATTTCACTTTTATGCTTAAGGTTTTTTCCCTTCTTGTAAATAAACAAGTCCTGGTATATTAGTATCAAACCCAGCTTCAAGAGCGAATTAACCTATGTACAACCCGTGTCAGGTTGCCTTGTGGCTAGAAGCAAACTCCTACCTACCAGACCATCAGTCATGAGTAGAATGACACACTTTGACGCCTCTATTCAAGGAAAAGAATTGAATCGAGGAAAAAAAAATGTATAAATTTAGTCAATGTCGAATAATAACTTCAATTACACATACATATAATCACATCTCATTATTATTCACACATTTTGTGGAGTTGCCATTATTCATTTCACTATTCCTATTTATAAACCATTATATATTTGCCAAATGGAGGCTAAAAAAACAATGTAATTCTAAGTTTTCTTCCTTTGAAGCTTATAAAAATTTGCAGATATCTTTAAAACATTCTGAATAAGGCCTTGTATTGGTGTCTTATGCAACAAATTAAGTTCACGTTTGATCCCCGTTCTTTAAAGTTCATTTTCATGCACACATCCTTTTAATAAAATAATTTTGCACATAAATTTAAAATTTCCTACTTTATAATCATACAATTTCCAAAAAGATCACTTTTTGTAATATATATATATTTTTTAAAATGGAATTCAAAGAGCGGTTAAGTGTCCCATGTGCTATACATTCACTCAAGAAAAAGGTGAAAATCAGTGAATAAATAGGGGAAAAAAACAAAAAATCTGACAAAACTTGAATAATTTTCAAAAAGGCAACTCTAGTGGGCTCTTCATCTTCTTCACAATGGTGCAGATTGGAAAAAATAGCCAATGAGACTTTGTGTCAATTATTCTTTGGGAGGCCACATGCAATCCAATAATTTTAATAGTATCATCAACAAAAAGACAAAAAGTCAACTAAGGTTTCAGAAATCATTTCTGGCACTCAAATAAGAAAGCGGGAAAGGGGCAGAAAGTCAATTGGGAATCATCCACTGGGTCCTAGGGAGATTAGAACATCTCTAGTAGACTAGGAAAAATGGGAAGTTTGATCACAAATAATTTACAATGTTTGAATAAAATTTATAAATTCATTCAAAATTAAGTGATGAACGAGGGAAGATAGATATATGATTGAGTTTGATCTCTAGGCGTCGGTATTTTTAATTTTTGGATAAGTAATAAAAGAAGAACAATTCCTCTAAACTATAAATTTAAGTTGTTAACCTCTTATTTTAGTGAGGAAAAATACATGTTCCTTAACTAGAGATGATTTCATTTAACGGGAATAAACAAAGGGAAAAACATTAAAGTGTTTTGGTAAAATTACCTACTGTGTAGTAAGTTGAATACTAGAAAGTTTAGGTGATTTTGGTTGGGGGCGATGGAAGGGCTTGGAGTTGGATACAGCTCCTTTTTACATTTTTCTTGTCAAAATCAAAACTATATAAAGAAAAAGAGTTCCATTGTCGGGAATCGAACCCGGGTCTCCTGGGTGAAAGCCAGATATCCTAACCGCTGGACGACAATGGATTTTTTACCTTCAATTCTTCTAGTTATTACTTGAAATTTCATCAATCTATATGAGACATTTCCATCAAATGCAGAGAGAAAATGCTGTTGATAACTTCCGGTCTGGTAAAACATGGGTTTTGATCGCCACCGATGTTATTGCCCGTGGCATGGATTTCAAAGGTGTCAGTTGTGTGATCAACTACGATTTTCCAGATTCTGCAGCTGCTATATTCACAGGATTGGTATGTAATTTATCCTTGAAGTACTTCTAGCTAGTGCAATTTTGGGTGTTAAATTACCTGCCTATTTTCTTTAACTCGAAATATCATTTATTTGCCTCAAGCATCAATTTCTGGTGGTTACTGAAACTCAGTTTTACCAACTGCCAAACAGGCCGTTCTGGTGGAGCCGGGAGGAGTGGAGAGTCCATAACTTTATATACAGAAGCCGATGTTCCATTTTTGAGAAACGTAGCCAAGGTCATGGCTGATTCTGGTTGTGAGGTACCCTCATAGACACGGCCGGTCCTGTGATTGTCGGGGCCTGAGACGAAGTCCGTAAATTAGGCTAAGACCAAATCAACGTAAATGCAAAATTCAACACCCATTGCTAACTTAGTATATTGTATATGATACTAGAGTATTACACGATTACTTACACAACTAGCTATGAGGTTACGAACCGAGGTGGGGGGGGGTGGGGAGAGAAGAAAGGGGAAGGTCTTTCTTTTTATGGGCTTGATTTTGAACAAATTCTAAAATGATAAAAAAAAAAAAATTGTTTTATTGTTCCTGATGCACCAATGTTACATGATGCAAGCAAGAAGTTTGGCCCTTGCAAGTTTACAATCTGAGAGGATTGAATGTGCTCCTGATTGACATGATTATAAATTTATAATGAGTCCTATACTAAGAGTTTATTATAACTACTTGGCTATGAACTGCATTAACATAATTCTGCAGACTTATGAGGCATTTTGGGGGTTAAAATTAGTTTATGAGGGTTTTATTACCATCGGGCTTGATTATGCTTTTTTTTACCTCAGTTTTCGGACTGTTGTCAAATGCTTTCTCTTGCGATTTACAGTGCTCCTCTATTTTTATTTTTTCTTTTCATCCTTTTCTACTATTTTTGTTCCTAGAGCTGCTATTTATTTTTATGCTTAAGCCTTATTGAGAAAGAGATAAAGTAAGTATAGCAGGTGATTTCAAATTTTCAATAAGTGAAAATCATCTTTTGAACTTTTCCATTCTGGCCTCCGTCTTTAAGACATTGAATGGAGGCTACTCATATCAAACAACATTAGTATATCTTATTCTACTGTCAATATGATGCCCTGTCAACTGATTACTGCATTTTTTGTTATGGTCATCACTTCTATGATCGTCCCTAGAAATACACTAAGCACAAAATAAACAGGTAAGAATGACATGTCAATGAATTATGAGTGAAGGTGCAAGGAACAATACATATATAGAAGTACAAAACTTGATCTTTGGATCGAAATCAAAAGGAAAAGATTCAGCAATTAAGCTAACACACTGCTAGTAGTAGATTCAGATAAATCAACAGACAGAATGGCTTGCAATTAAGCATTTGTTCAAGTATTAAAAACACAAAACCCTCCTCCTTACTCCGGGCTTGGGACCGGCTGTGAGATGCTCAAGGTCACATGACACAGGCGGAGTTAAAACCTTTTTTTTTTTTTTTTTTTTTTTTAAAGTCAACCATAGCATACTGGCCTACCCTTTTTACTGGATAACAATAGCAGTTTTGTAAACAGAACTTGTAGAGGTGAGTGTTTTCGACTCATCAATCTTACCTTGATCTCTTCAGCTTCTGAAATTTTAGCTTCGAAGTCCATTCCGAGCAAGTCAAACTAACTAATCATCTAGATCCTCATTAGCATCCAAGACTTAGTCAGGCATTTTGTCGCAATCAATTACTTTTACTCTAGCATTGAGGTAGCCTCCACCAGAGTAATAATTTCCTACATACTTCATATACATAGATTTTAACCACTCAATGCTGACTTTCACTCATTAGTGAGGGTAGCTTTTTCCATAAGTCGGTAGTTTTCACTCTATCACTGAGGTAGCCCTCTTTCCCGGTAGATTATCCTCTATATATTTGTGATACATAGGCCCAAATTACTCAAGACTGACTGTCACACATCAGTGTAGGTAACTTTTTCCGAGATTTCAGATGGTAGCTTTCACTCGTATCACTAAGGTAGCCTTCTTCATTGGTAGACTATTTATTTGAAATACACAGGATCAAATTACTTAGGGTGACTTCACACATCAATGCAGGTAGCTGTTTTCAACTGGACTAGCCTACCTAGTGCAATGTCTTTTTTTGGAACTGTAGTTAGGAACAGAATCTTAGTTCACAGTCAATGCTTAGTTTGGACTTCTCAACTAAAATAACTTCTACCTTAGATTTCAGAATAGGACTGTGAATTACTGATCCCCTAGAACACTTAAGGTCACAAGTTCAAGGTCCATTAGATGAATTTTTTAAAAGCTGGTTAAGTTTCTTAGAATGGTGTTTAGATGGTTACTTTGGTTTAGATGGTTACTTTGGTTCAGAAGTGTTATTTAAGACAATTCTATAGTTCAATCTTATGTTCTTCAA